TGGGGATGAAGACCACAACTCCCATGATTCCACACTCAGTCACGCCGTCATCAAACTACGCCTTTGTTTCATTGTTTGTTTTGAATACGCGCCCTCTAGCGGCGAAAACAACATATTGTGCCTTTAAGCAGAGCGACTCAGGCTCGTCTGAGGATCTCTCACCTGGTCCGCTGACGTCAGGCAGGTGCGTGAACCTCTCGTTGCAGAAGTCGCCTTCGCAGCAGCAGAAGAACACCTGAGGGTTGTCCTCGGTGGCCACACACTCCTGTCTGAGAGAACCAGACACAAACAAGACACTCAAAAACACTCAAGGTGCGTCCCAAATCGCGTACTTATGCACTATTCTATGACGTTTTGTAGTATATAAATAGTGCGAGTAGTGTGTTCACACTGAAAATTCCAAAAAGAAAAAGTGCACTTTAAATACCCGGATGATGCACTTAAATAACCGGAAAAATTAAGTGTAGAATGTTGGACACTTCATGCACTCAACTGTTGCAGCTTTAATTACGTACCGAAGGGGGAGGAGCTATGAGACTCCGATTACGAATGACAAAATAACCTTATATAATTCATACTCTACATGATCGAGTACATAGTGCATAGGTACATAGTGCATAGGTACATAGTGTATAGTGCGTCATTTGGGACGCAGCTTCAGCGTCTGACTCTGTGATTGATCTCGTCTGCTGTCAAACATCTCATTATAAAGGCTGGAAGCGGGTTGGAAAACACTTAACGATCTCTCGTCTGCTTCAGCGCTAATGAACGGCTCTTCAACAAGATATTAAAGGTTTACGATGGGAAACAAGACTTTTCATGAGGCTGAAGAATAAAAAAAAAAATTATATACTGCAACCTTCAGATCTTAAATCATCCAGAAGCATCCAGAGAATTATGTATTAATATTAAAATAAATAAATAAATACATGTATTTATTTAAATAATGATGTCTACTGAAAACTGTTATTATTATTAAACTTAATTAAATATAAATTATATATATACAAAAAAATTTAATAGCGGTTTCTAATTATTTCACTATTTGCTTTGAAATATCTTCATGACTTCATGAAACATCCAGAAGCATCCAGTTTTTTTTATTATTAAAATTATATATTAAAGTAATATGTATTAAAATAAATAAGTATATACATCAAAATTTATTAATTAATTAAGTGTCTACTGACGATAAATAAATACCAATCGACTCACAACATTTGCTATGTTTCTCAATATTTCAACATTTTCTCTGAAATATCTTAACGACTTCATGAAACATATAGAACATTTGGACAGTTTATTATTATTATTATTATTTATATTTAGTTTTAGCTTTATATTTGCTCTGAAATGTCTTAATGAGTTCATGAAATGCAAAAACAAAAATAATATGGCACTACGAAAATCACAATGTGTCTAATGGTCATGAAAATAATCCTAAAAGGTCCAAAAAGATCATCATTTTCTTTATGCAAAACATATTTGTTTTTGTTGTGAGTTTGGGGTGAATGCGGAGGTGAAGTTGGGACGTTTCTTCTTAATTTATCATCTCGCCTCTCCATGAAGTGAAGCAGAGTAGTTACACATTTACAGTACGGCACCGAAACAACACATTTAATTAAACAGGGTCAGAAAAGGTGGGAAAAGTTTATGAAAAGCAATATGGTACACAAAACACAGAGTGTAGAGTGCGAGCCCTTCGTGTGTGTTGTTGTGGCTCCAAGCGCCTTTTAGGGAACAAGAGAGAAAGAGCGAGAGCCGATTGTGCTGATCAATCAGTCTCTGTGTCTGCTGTAATCTAGCAGCAAACCACTTATTACACCTTTACCTAGTTTTCACATATTTATATACAGTATATGATATTAAAATCATATCAATATATATATATATATATATATATATCTCAGACTATTGACAAAATATCTGCATCTATTTATTTTTAATATATATATATTTTTTTTTTACATTTTATTGTTGATTTTATTTCTTATGCATCTGTTCTGATAATTTCATGATTATTTTTAAATCATTAGGGGTGCTCCAATCAGGGTTTTTGAGGCCGATCACCGATCACAAACATTAGTCAGTGCACATATATTCAGTTCATCAAATATAGTAAATGTGAGCTCAAATGTGCATGATGCAGTTTTCATTTTTGCGTGAACTACCCTTTAGGGACTTCACTGTCTCAGACTTCTATGCTCGTGTTGTTCCCTGAACAGCCAATATGTGAGGAAAATGAGTGCTTAACGGTGTCCATGCAGTGCGGGAGACCTTTGGTATTGAGAGGGGTTGTAAGAAACACAGAATAGAACAGCACGCGGTGTTTATTTTTTAACAGGGCTCGAAAGGGCCACATGGAGAGACGGGCCAGAGTGTAGTAGCAGGAGTTTGGCATGGGCACAAATCTTGTGCTCCCCTCTTTTTATTGCCTTTGTCTGATCTCACCCTTCCAGACTCTCCACGATTCCTCAAGCTTTACATACATGTTTTGACACTGTTGCGTGAGACAAAGCTCAGAAACTATCTACCTAGATATTCCTATAAAAATACTTTACGCCAGTGAGAGTTACTCTATAATTCAAATTCTGGAGTGAAGTATGAGGGTAAGTGCTCATCTGTCTCTCAGGTCTTCACCACAGTCACACATAGAGGGCAAGGATAGTCACACTCCACATGAAGCGAGGCGTACTCTGATTACATGAGACGCGCTCCATTGTGTGTCTCTGTAGCAACAGTTAATTGGCACTCGAGCAGGCCCTCAGACATGGCACCTCTGCCCCTTCGCTTTCAGCTAACATCAACAACAACAACAGTTGACTGGCATTCTGCAGGGCCTCTCTGTGCCGGGCTGTTTGTGTGTTTTGAGTCGAGCTGAGGTGTTGCTTTCCTCTTCTCCTACTAATGAGGTTGTGGCCTTATTGACTATTGAGTCTTGAGGGGATTCAAAGCTTTGCTCAACTAACAGCAGCCCCTGTCTAGTTGTTTTTAAGATTCCTGCCAACTTTAACACTACTATAAGTAATCCATTGGTGGGTTGATGCCGTAAGAAAAATCTGTGGTGTTATTAAAACATTGCTCTGTTTGACAGCAAAATTGACTCAACCAAGTTTGGGGCAGGACTTTTCAACCAAATGACAGATGAGAAAGTGTTCAGAAAACCTGTTTAGAAACAGTCATATGTTTTGGCAATTAAATCCGCACACTGTATAACAAGTCGGAATACAAATTGAGTAAAGAGAGGCAATAAACATTACTAATAATTCAACAGACCATATCTATGTTAGCAAGCTTACATAATGTTTCTGTGAAGTTTAAATGAGCAGAACTGGTTAAACAATATTCCATTTATCACAGAAAACTAGGGGTGCTCCGATCAGGATTGTTGAGGCCGATCACAGAAAGCAGTATCTGCCGATACCAATCACCGATACCGATCTTTTTAAAGCCTTCTTTTTAACATTTATATCTATTTATAGTGATACACCAATCAGGGTTTTTGAGGCCGATCACCGATCACAGAAAGCTGTATCTGCCGATACTGATCACCTTCGATCACCACGAAAACCTTCTTTTGAACATTTATATCTCTATATAGTGATACTATTTATAGTGATTCAGGGCCTGAATTTCATTTTTGAAAATTTTTGAGAATTCCCCTCTTAGGTGAGTCTTGTGAGAGGAGAAGCAGCTTTCACACAGGAGTCCGCTACTGATCCGTGGCTGTTTACCACAAACACAACATTTATCCATTATTTTGATTTCAAATCCAAACATTGTCAATGAAAATGCTTTTTCAGCATTGCAATTTCTTTTTTTTACAAAAATGTATTCCCGATGAATCCTGGACTCCTGCTCAAAATGATAAATTATTATAACGACAGCTACAAAAAAAACAATAATAAGCCCGCGAAGCTGTTATCGTTCCATCCTGACGGATGATATGCGTGACAGCTAAGCGGAATCCCGGAAAATAAACCGTGGAACTTTGACCAATGAGAGAACAGTTTACACGCGCGTGACTTGTATTAACAAATTTGGTCCGTTTAGAATCTTTGCCATGTGAAAGCGAACCGCACTAAGAATAAAAAGCAACATTGTAATAATTTTAATCCCTGTTTCAGAACAAAGCAATTGATCTACATGTGTGAAAGCACCCTTAAACTACTTTTCTTACATTATCACAAACTTACCATTGACAGAAATAGTCAGCTCTACTGCCTTTCCTTTTGCATTTAAATCTTTATTACAAGCAATCATGCGGTTCATAAAGAACTTTGTTTTCTTACCTCCTCGAGTGCCATCTATTATTGCCTTGTTTATCTAAAAGTGCTTTTTCCCTTTAAACCTAGCCAAAAAGCCATATGTGTTGACTGTGAAACACAGTAGACTTTAATAATATGCATTTATGGTGTAATTACTACATTTTCATGTCAATCCATGTTCATATTTACTGCAAACAATGCGCTGTTACTTTAATTCAGCGTTTAGTGACGATGTGACACTGCCTCGACTGTGCAAGTGACAATTCATGTGTCAACTGTGCAGCGTGCAGCTGGCTTATAGGCAGACGCGATGTGTGGTGATTTGAAGCCATTTGCATATTTTGAGAGAGAGTGAGAGCGCGCGCGGTGATTCACTCTCGCTGTTTGTGAAATTACGTCTCACACAAGGTTTTCAAATTACTTTATAAGTTATCTAATGAAGAAATATAGTACCTCACCTTCAGCATTATGATTTCACCCGCGCCGGACAGACTGAGATGGTGCCGCTGCATTTTTAGAGACCGCCGATCGATCATCTCAACGTGATTATCGGCCGATAGTGATCGGTAGCCGATCAATCGGAGCACCCCTAGCAGAAAACATCCCGAGGCTTATTCCACAAACATCACACCATCTCTTCTTAGAAAGAGCCGAAGCCAAAATAAATACATTTCAATAAATTATTATAATTAATGATGTAGTGTTATTTTTCCATCATTGATATACTATTATAGATTTTGAATTTATTTATTTATTTATTTTTTATTTTATTATGTTTTTAAATGTTTTAGACACTATTATTATTATTTAACTATTACTATTATTATTATTAAATACATGTAACCAATTATTATATAAATACCCATTTTTATTATTAAATATATTTAAATACATTACTATTATTAATGCAGTGTTATTTTAGTATCATTTATAAACTACTATAGTTCTTCTTAACATTTTAATATATTTTATTTTAATTTTAAATATTTTGACTTTTTTTTTTATTTACATAGATTTTCTTTTTACATTTTCACTTTATTTTGGAAAGTTTTAGTAATTTTGTTGTGTTTTCGTCATCTTTATTACTTTTTCCTTTTTTATTTATTATTTTTAGTTATTTTTTAGTTATTTTAGTAGAGCGTTTTTACATTTTCACTTTAATTTTAGTATGTTTTTATATTATTTATGACACTATTATTATTATTATTTAACTATTCCTATTATTATTAAGTACATATATTATTATATAAATATCATTTTTTTATTATGAAATATATTTAAATACATTATTATTATTATTAACGCAGTGTTATTTTAGTATCATTTATATACTACTATAGTTTTCTTAACATTTTAATATATTTTACTTTAATTTAAAATATTTTGACATTTTATTTTTTTTATTTACATAGATTTAATTTTTACATTTTCATTTTCTTTGGAAAGTTTTAGTAATTTTGTTGTGTTTTCGTCATCTTTATTACTTTTTCCTTTTTTATTTATTATTTTTATTTATTTTAGTAGTGTGTTTCTGTTGCTTTTATTAGTTTTTTATTCATTTTATTTTATTTTTAGTTATTTTCATGCATTAGTTTTAGTTATTTTATTACAAGTTAAACTACACTAAATTAACCAGCTGAAATAAAATAATTTTAAGGGTTTTTTTTTTAATACATTTTATTTCAGTTAACATTTATTTTATTTTAAGTAACAAAAATTCTGCTTTTAGTTTCCTCTAATAAGTTCCCTGCAGGTGGGACATTAAGCCCTGTTGAGTTATGACTAGTACTAGTCAAGCGTGTCACGACTGACCTGTCGTAGCAGTTGAAGTCGTCTAGCCAGCAGCCCTTCTTGACGAGCTCGATGCTGCCGGAGCTGTTCCTCCAGGAGGCGTAGCAGTGCGAGCGCTTGTCCTTCTCTCCCTCACAGTGCTCCACGCCGCTGCGGTTCGTCTTCTCCACCTCCCAGTTAATGTTGAAGTACAAACACTCGTGCGTCTCCACCTCGGCATGACTGGGTCCTGATCGAACACAGCAGAGAGAAGACACTGATTTACTGACGGCAGAAACACCAGAGCTCAAGTCTGAGGCCATGTCCACACGTACACGGGTATTTTTATAAAGAAGTTTTTCCTTCCGTTTTAAAAAAAATCTCGAACGCAAACGCATGCTATGAAGCACTGTCAAGAGCATGCCAAACCAACAGGTGGCGATATAATCTCAACCGTAAAGCCATGTTGGCCAATCAGAAGCCTGAAAAAGTCTCCAGTAGGCGGAGATAACAGCGCGTGCTCCGACGTCACAAGCCAAAAAATCCGGTTTCGCGGTCTACACGATAACACTGCAAGCGGAGTTTTTGAAAATCTGGCAGGTGTTTTCAAAAATGTTCGGTTTCAGTGACCTGGTTCTGTGTTTGCGTGTGGACGAACGGCCAAACCGCGTAGAAAAAGCTGTGGTTTTAAAAATAACCGCGTTCGTGTGGACAGGGCCTGAATCTCACTCACCAAACACAAACAACAACAATAATCAACATTACAAAACCCCGTTCACACCAAGGACGATAACTATAAAGATAACGATAAAGAGCTCAAGAATTTAAAGCGGCAGACTAGGGATGTTCATTTTAACCGGTTAACCGTTAACCGACCGTAAGAATTTTTGACCGATTAATACAATCAGCTAGACGGTTTAAAAAGTAATTTATAAAAATTTTTTTCAGTAATTTATCAAAATATTTAAAAAGGTTTGCTGCATGGTTAAAATACGCTACGCGTATATTAAAAAAAATGCGTTTTATAGAAAAAAAACGCAAGTCGAGTATAAGTCGCATTTTATTATTTCATTCAGAAATAGGCCTATTGCCGACGCGAAATGTTTACAAACATTATAATAAACACTGTAAACATAGCTAGGCTATTTTAGTTCCCCTCACTCCACAACAAATCCTTTCAATTAACAGTATTTAGAAAAGAACAAGAATTAAAACTATAAGAAGCTATAGCAATATAAACGACAAGCCAAAATGAATTAATTTAGGCTAAAACGAAACTGAAACCAACGTTGGGTCTCTCATTCCACACAAAATCAAATGTTTCCGTATTCGCGATGTATTTGAATGCCAAATTATTATTTATTATGTAGCCTACTTCACTGGCGTTCCAATATCCACGTAAAACTAAATGTTTCGCATAACATCACGGCGGTACGGTGATAACGCTTAACGGCACAGATTTTACTACATATTTGAACTGTCATAGTTCAACTAGTCATGAATATAATCGGAATTGTAAAAGGTTTGCTTTTATTTGTGTACATTCACAATAAAAACAAATCTTTGTGCTTTTGTAAAATAAGCCTAAAGAAAAATAGGATGCCGCTTTCTGTCGTCTGTTTCCTTTCGTGCAGCACAAAAATGAACCGAAACTCTGCATACTAGGCTACTTGTTGCACACTTTTTCTTTCGTTTTCTTAATTTATTATTCAAGTATAAATATATTTCTCGTATAGGCCTATTTATTATTATTACTATTATTTTATTATTATAGTAGTATATTATTATTTATATATAGCCTATATCTAGCTTTATTATGTTTTTCTCCGCTGGCAGATGTGATACGAAGACCATGTGAATCCTCATGTTCTGTTGTTTGCTGCTTTTTGCACATATAAAATTAATCCCCGGGAAACAAATGTTAGTATTT